ACATCCGATTTTTAGGCGCGTGGTGCCTTAATACTTCAACGACATTTCTCCTACTGCTTGATCAAACTTAAATGGCCTTGAGCGTTCACGAAGACTGACAAAATCACTTTTGGAAGGTATAAAGTGGTGCAATGCACCTGTATCATATTGTGAAGGAATTATATTAGATCTAGAAGCGCACATAGCAGCTATTGCTGTCCCTTCAGAATCCGAGTCACTATTAACAGTATTGCATTTGCCGGCAAGGGCTCGAGCCTTTCCTTTTTGTTGGTATATTTCGGGTATTAAATATGCTAGCACAAGAGGTTCTAAATTTCAGAGGGGTTAGTTGTTCTTCTCTATTCTCTATCTAAGCTATCTAGTGAGTTACCCTATGTAGATGCCAAGGCGCTAGTGCGATCAATACGCGTACATGAGAGCCTACACTTCAGACCAATCAGAGAGATCCAAACACTACTGCTACTTAGTGGGTGATATGATTGTCTCTTAGATAACCATATTTTCCGACACTTTTCCCTTCCAATCTCTTCGACCGTGGTTGCCACGACGTGCTTTAGCCACTTCGGGGTGCTGCTTAAAGCACTGCTTATTTTTATTTTTATAGCTACACAGCGTGCAATAGTCGTTTGGGTCTCTTTTGTCATTCGTTTCGACTTCGGCAGCCGCATTATCCGAGGCGTGGGTTGGGTCCTATTTCCAGCGACAGTTCTGAGAGAAGACATCATAAATTCGAGGCTGGAGAACTTGTTGTCGCTTTCGAGTGCTTTTGTGTCCCTCCAATTATCCAACCATCCCACTCCTTTGGTGCCAAGAGAAAATAGTACTGCAGCCTGTCCTGGAAGAATAGCATATTCAGACTGGGCAGGTTCTAGAGTCGAGGAATTTGAGACTAGAGTATCGGCTGCGCTGTTTACGCTCTGTAAACTAGCTAGGAAACGATCGCAGTAGTCGTTCGGAGATCCAGTGAACTTTGTCTGAAGGAGGGTTTCAAGGGCTGATGAGTACAGTGCAGTTGCCGATTCCGATCTAGTCTTCGCTACACTCTGATACAGCTGCTTCGCTGTATATCTTTCACAAGTTTGAGGGCACACGCTGTCGCTTAATCGGTCAATGATGATGTTTCTCGCCTCAATCTTGCCTATCTTCCACGCTGCTCTTTCGGATCGATAATGTGACACTAGCTCCTGGTACTGTTGAGGCGTCTGCTCAGCACTCATAGGCGGTGGTGCTTCGGGGGAAATGGCTGGTTCAATTTCTTCAATATCATAGAAAACGTGACCAAGAAGGTTCCGTTTGGCAAGTTTCGCCTGAAGGCTGCTTTTCCATTTCGAGAATGAGATGCCCTCACCTAGCACGTGCCTGTTTCCGTTTCCCATCTTCTTTTTTTTTATTACCACTGAGTCTTACTAAGTGCCGCAGTGGAAGAGCTCGGGCTCATAACCTGTTATACCTAGGTTATGAGTAGATATGGAATGATGAATAAGCTAGGGATAACAGAGAAGAGCCGAGGATGATAATCAGATACTGAAGATATGAATAACTTAATTAATACAATCGATGGTGCTACCGAGGTAGACAGGACTGATATATATACATGCTGTACACCCATGTTACAGTCCATAATCATATAACCAGAATGTTCCATAGTCACATTCCATTCCATTCTCTAACATGTTGTACTATTAACACAAAGCTCTTGGTGTCGATTGTAATAACGGTCGTGCAGGGACCACATAGACCCTGCATACTGCACTAGTACATGGATATGCTATATCCCTGTAGATAGACAGGGATGGCCCATAGCGGCTCTGACAGTCATATCACAACAGTCCACCACAGTTTCGACATTGTGTGGGGGCTTTGCACTCAATTTCAGAGTGCATTTCTGATCCGCAGTTCCAGCAAGCCGGAGCGCGGGAGCAAGCGCGAGAGGCATGGAAGCCAAGACATTGTTTGCACTGAACTATATTTCGACGAGGTTAGAAGAGCTTTGCAGCTCTGGAGTCATTGAAGAGGCGAAATCCAGGTCGGGGCGTGGATTTGCGAGGGAAGAGCGCTGGCCAGTTCTGATATGGCGCCCTGGGTTTGCTGGTTCCGTGAGGATCAACAAGAAAAGGAACTGATTTGGTCACTCGCGTGAATTCATCGGCAACCATCTTTGCTGTCACGGCGATGGGGCCATCGAGAGTTCGAATTGTCTCCGGGACGGTGGCAATTTGCATGGCAACCAGATTTGATGCTGGTTCCAGTTTGATTCCAGATTCGCTCCGTAATGTGGAGGAATCTAGGAGCTCTTTCCGAGCGAGTTGATCCTTTGCGGTTGTTGCAAAGCCGGTCTTTACCCGCTGAACCAGCGTGATATTGTTGGCAGCGGTTCCCAGCGCCTGAGACACAGCTGATCTTACGCCATCTGATGACAGGAGTCGGTGAGGGTGGTTATATTCAAGGCGTAGAAAAAGTTGTGCACCTACTTTTTCACTCAAGTTGGCACTTTTTGCTTTCTGGACGGGCGTTGCTGCCTTTTTTGTCGATAGCCCAGCGCTGCTGACTACGCCTACCCGAGCTACGGTGGCCCAAGTTGTCTTTGGAGCCGGAGCCTGAGTTTTCGTAGGGTTAGCTACCCTTATTTCTGGAGCCCTCGGTAAGAGAGGGTTTACGGGGCGAGCAGGAAGGACTGGTGGTGTGCTTCCTGGACCGGATTGAACGAACTGGCCAATGGCTGCTCGTAAGTAGACTTTTGTACCGTCTACGAATTCTTTATTATCGCCGATCGAAAGAGGCGAAAGTGCTGCTTCAACACTGTTTATCGCAGTCGAGCAGATGGCGAGACGCGCCGTAATTTGCGTCGTCCGTCGCTTTTCGGCCTCCATCACGGTTTGCAGATCCGGAGGAAATTCCGGTGCTGATGTCGAAGCTGTGCCTTTGGAAGCTGCCACAGCGAATTTTCTTGCAGACATTTCTGCGTGTTCTGTCCTCTTCTCTCGAACGACCTCCTTTCCTTTCCTTTCCTTGAAGTGCTTGCCTCTGGGGCAAGCTCGATGGGAATTTTGGCCTCGGGACCAATTTTTGCTGACCTGACGGGCTTAGAATCAGTCATCCCTTTGTCGGGAAGGTTTGGAGAATTCCCTTCGATAAAGCCCTCACTCGCAAAAATGCTTGAAAGTTTATGCGCGAGGCCTGGTGTTTTTGCGGGAGCCCTCGGGCGGACTCTCGCGTTGTCCAACTTAGGATTGAGACGCTTTTTCGAACTGGAGGCATGGTGAATATACCTAGGCTCGATCACAATTTAGTGGTGGAATTCAACGAGCGCGAGAGGAAGGGAAAGGGGGAAAACGGGTAGGTTAGAAAATTTCTAATTTCAAAATATTGTGTCTGTTTTGTGAGCTAGCACGACGATAAATAATATAGGAAAATAAGTAATTCACGGCAGTCACTCTCGACCAAGACTTTCTGATATCGTTTCACGACCTTCGGTTTGTCCTGCGGCATGAATTAGGGAGGGATAAGGAGGAAGCTAGGAAGGTTAAAGATGCTCTCAGGTATACACAGGTCTGCTGCGTGGGGCAAGACTGAACACCTGTACGTGGTGTCCTCTACGAACCTGGGAGTGAAATATTCTCCCATAGCCAAGTTCAGTCAAATTCCGCAATATCAAAGAAGTTGGCCCACGAGGCAAAAATTCAATTTACTCCTCCACGTCGTTTTTTCGCTCTCAACGAGTTTGACTCCTACCTAAGTCTCGACAAGCCTGCAAGTACGACCTAGTACATCCTCATCCCAATGACCACACCACTCTTCGACCTTCTCTGGCCTCAGTTGACCACCAAATACACGCCCACGCCGATATTTATACCCGACAGAGAAAGCAAAGCGTGGCGCACAAATCTGGGAGACAGTTCTTTGGGATGGGCGTGAGAGGGATCAGGACAAGCTGAAAAGATGATGCAAAGGAAGGATGTAAACTCGAAGGCCGTGAAATTCTGAATTTTGGCAAGAGATTTACGAATTGAGCTTTGTGCGCGCCAAGACTTCGCATGCGAGAGTGCAGCTAACACTATAAGCACAAGCCAACGATGGAAGGTGTTGTGGTCCGCCTCCTGGTGGTGTTCTCCGGTATAGTTTGAGTAGCCTGGGCATCTACTCCACTTGGTAAGGAGACGCCCAGGATCATATTTCGCGCGGAGAAAAGTTGAAAGATGATGGAGGCCTGTCTGGATAACTCAGGGTTTTTGAGACGTTCCCATGGGTGGGTGTTCACGGATGAGGGTTGACTTGGGGTGAAGAAAAAGCCACCATAACTTCGCAGTGGTACTTGCAAATGACATCCGAGGCATGAGAGCTCTTCCTTTACGTTGAATCATCTACTCTGTACTTTTCTTTGATATTTTGTCATAGTTAGATAGATGTATACGCAATTAAAATCTGATGCAAAAAAAACAGGTCTGCTGCGCACGGCTGGCCGGCCTCTTCGTCATAAGAGAGCCCCGCACCCAGTGATTTTTGAGACTTTTCCCTGCAGCTACACACCCGCAAATATCCATCGTTTCATTGACTGGAGAGGGGAGATAATGACGGAATAACGGCTCCTCCTAGTGTATACTTAAATGAAGAGCTATGTTGGTATTACCACTGGAAAGATGTCATCTAGGAAGGATAGAATTAGTACACTGTCCGAGACATAGATACTCCTGGCCTGAATGAAGAAAGGGCCTATATAACTTTGTGGCCTCGAAGACTCAAACGTAGCAATATCTACACTCAAATCTAAAAATATGTACCCGTTAAAGGGCCCACACCACATGTGTCGGAGAAACGTGATACACTAAGATATTTTTGCACCTAAGCCCGTTCCAACGATCACGCCAATTGGAACAACTGAGAATTTGGACTAACCATAAGCGAGCTTAGTAATAACACACACAACACAAGGCCTTTCATTTTCTATCTTCCAAATCATTAAAACTTTTTACCTGAATCAACATCCACGGAAATCCACAGACATGACGAAAAGAACTAAGAAGGTCGGTGTTACCGGAAAATACGGAACAAGGTACGATATCACCAGATCCGGCGGACTAGAATAGTCAGTCACAAGTATCCTTCACTTAAGTTACGCCAAATACCTTGGAAGCACGAATCAAATTATAGTTGGGTCATTATTAATTACTTTTCCAAACAGATATGGTGCATCTCTACGTAAGCAGGTCAAGAAGATGGAAATCACACAGCACGCAAAATATGTGTGTACATTTTGCGGGAAAACTTCTGTAAGGAGGCATTCAGTAGGTATCTGGGACTGCAGATCTTGTCACAAGACTGTAGCTGGTGGAGCGTATACTGTATCGTAGGTGCCCATGAAATTCCCGTCACTCATTGACGCTTTCAGAACGTAAAATCTAATTTTAAATAGGACACCTGCTGCAGCTGCTATGCGATCGACACTTAGACGATTAAGGGAAATTGCTGAAGTTTAAGAAATTGTGACTCCAACGACTAGTAATTGTTAGTGTAAAGGTTACGACCGGTTGATTTGGGGCGCTGTGTACCGACATTCTAAGGCCAATATGGGCACTACAGAACTTACGACCTTTCCCAATCACTCATCATGACTGCGGTGAACTTATTTCTTTCTGAATGTCTAAACTATCTGTAAAGAATCAGTCATTACAGTTGAAATAAAGACTTGCACTATTTTCATATCAATCCATCCTCCCAATTAATTAATGGAGAAGACGGCATGTGAGTGCTGAGTATGTCTCGCCCGACTTGCGGCTCTGGAAAAGTCAACTTTGGCTCAAAGTTTATCGAATAAAACTGTAACTGGCTCTACTATTTACACCGATACCTATCCAGCCCTAAATTTCGCAAACAACTTCATTAGAATTCCCAATAAATTTTTGAACTTGAACACGTCAAGACCTGTATACAATTACCTAGAACCTAATCTAAAGATATAAACCTACTTTGAAATTGGATTAGAAGTTGACAAATACAGTGAGTTTATATTCTAATCCATCGTAGATAAGATTTTCGGTTCAAAAAACGATCTTGATCAGACACCGGCCCAAAAATGCGAGCGTTACGCGCGCTGACTTCGGCACCTCGCAAAGAGCTTGGTGGCTAAATTATGACTATTGCGAGTGTGTGGTCTCACACATGTGTCTCGGGTAAGGCCAGGTCCATGCATTATCGGCAATGAGCAAAACCTTTGGCTGTTGATTTCGGCATCAAGTTAACCATTTCTACTTCTACGTGAACAGAGCAGCATATCAATAAACTGTGAAACGCTTTGTTGACAAGATGGCCACTATCGCCACAGCTACAATATTATGTTATTTAAGTATGTGCTCCAACATGAAAGTTAGATTTCTTGTACATTAGAGTGATCCTGATGTCCCTACGTTTCGCCTGTTCCATCACAAATTATTGTGTCATAGGTCTATGCTACCGACATCTTCAAGCCATTGTGTGTTCTCTGATTTAATTGGCTCGGTCAATTGCTTAACGCTAAAATTGCCGCCCGCTTCGCTCTCTACTTCCTTCAATTTCCCGAATCATAACTCGCTGTTTATGAAAAGTAAAGATCAGGTCAGCTGTTTATCGCCCAAGCGAAGTGGTTGCATTTAACATTGATCACCTCCAACTTCCACCATACTTTTACCTAACTATATTTGTCTTCTATAAGTGCCTCGTTCTCATAACTCATACGCACTTCGCCGACAAAGTAGTGTTCGAAATGGATGATCTTGACCATGAATGCATCATCTGCACCCTAGATCTAGCAGTCATCAACCCCGCCGATGACCTAGGAAATGCAAGGGGGGCTACACCCGTTACTTCAAATATTCAACTACCAACTCAGGAAGCTGACCTCCTCAGCAACGACAACGACAATATCAATGGTGAAAAGAAGTCTGTTGCAGTAATAAAGCCTTGCAATCACTTCCTTCACGACGAATGCTTACGCGAATGGTCTCAAATCGCTAACACCTGCCCTTTATGCCGACAAGCCTTCAACCTGGTGGAAGTTCACAATGCTATCGGTGGTAAGTAACATCGTCTTGAACCCCGAATACCGGCCCTGATTTGATATTCTGCTCTGTCGAATTCATCACATAACGCCACTCAACTTTGAGATGTCTTCCATAAGATCCAGTACCAATGCTAACCTGCTTAGGAACACTCATATCTTCCTATACTGTGCAGGATAAGAAGCAAGTCGCCATTATCGACTCCAACTCTTGGCTTGAAGAAGAGCAAGAAGACGAAACTCACCCATGCCCGATATGTAACGATTCTGGTCATCCCGAAATACTTCTTCTGTGTGACGCATGTGACGCAAACTACCACACTTATTGTGTTGGATTAGATGATATACCTATAGGCGATTGGTTCTGCTTAGAATGCGTAAACATCGGAACCTATTCAAGAGTTGATGAGTCAGCTACTGACACAGTAGAGCCATACCTTACACGTGGACGCAGAGCTCCCAGGACGCAAGCATCAGTCAGGAGAAACCGGCAGCGTTTGAGGAACGATAGCTGGCTGGGACCATGGAGCCAAATCGGGCATCGTATACATGGCGCCACAGGACTAGACATTGACTTCTCGGAAGATGAAGACGTGATATCCTGGAGACGTACAAACCAAGATGTTGCCCGTCAAGAAAGCCAAAGAAATGTATGGCGACTCCGTCTAAATATTGCTAGGCGTCAGGGAGCCGCATGGGCTTTCCGGGCTGCGGCACCTGCACTCTTACCAAGAGACCCAACCCCTATTGAGTCGGTAGAGGAATCTATGGCTTGGGGAGAATTCGAGAAAGCGAAAGAGATTGATACGGGGAGCCCTAAGAGTAGAAAACGTAAATTGAAGTTCAGTACTGCTGCTCCAGCTGTATCCACTTCGACCGCAATTGATACTCAACCTGGACGCAAGTTGAAAAGACCGAGGACTCGTATAGTCCTTGATAGACCTGAATCATCACTATCGTCTGCTTTAACAGGACCCTATGAAAATCCACAAGATGGAGCCCCGTCAAATCACAGTCCAATAGCTATAAACGAGGAACCGTCGTTTCTCTCTTCGCTCCTCAAGGAAGTTGATATGGCCTCTGGATCTGATGAAGGAAGAATAAATCAGTCACTTATAACAGTTCCAACATCAAATCGAGCCACAAGCCCACTCACAGAATACTCATCACCTCTAGTACCAACAGTATCGCCATTACACACGACGCCAAGAGCGTTATCGAGTACCCCGCCGCCATTTATGGTCAGGAGGTCTATATCCCCTCTACCACTCACTTCGAGGATAGAACCAATATTCCCTCCGGCGGAATACTTCTTAAATCAAGCGACTTCTACCACTAATATTGAACGTTCCAAGGCTCAAAGGGCAGAGTTGAGACAGCCACGACCAAGAAGAAATCAATCAAAATTACCTCGCTTGGTACATCAATCGTCGCTAATGAGGAGCCCTCACCCCACAGTTATTTCTCCCTCCCCATCATCGATGTCAATAGAAACTAAAGCAGATATAAGTAAGATCGTCAAATCTGCCCTCGAGCCACATTGGAATTCTGCTGAGATTACCAAGGAACAATATGGTCATATTAATCGCGATGTTTCGAGAAAACTTTACAACATACTTGCTGATCAAAACCTTTCTGATGAAAAGGAAAAGCGCCGTTGCAAAAAGATTGCTACGGCAGAGGTGGAAATTGCTGTCAATTCATTGACAGCCTAAGGTTAAGATATTAATCTGATTTCCATTAAAAATGCTTGCCAAAGATTTCACAAAATTTATGGGAAATACTAGGGCTGGTGTTTTTTATCAAAAGGGCTGAATTTTACAAATTTGAGTAAACGGGGAGTCGGTTAAGGGTTTCATTGGCTTAAGTTGTTAAAAAAGTGCAACTGCATTTTGAAGTATTAAAAAGTCGGATGGGGACTTTAGTCCATGTCAGACTTAGAACGTGTGGATGGGACCAAGGGAAACGAAATATCAGATTATCAATGAAATGTTAATATAATTAAGTTATGATAGGGCGCTGCTTTAAATTAGATGAGACATGTAAAATAACCGGGTCATCGGCGTAAGGGGGAGTACAAGGCCTTTGGGACACACTATGCGAGACAATACCCAGGCCGAGCACACGGAAATAATTAATTTATCACACCATCAGGGATGATACAATTCCCTCCCTGAAGTAGTCGAGTGGATAATCAGTCTTGCACTTATCTGTCAATCTAGGGAGCAATATTTTCTTTTCAATGGAAGATTAATTACTGAGAGTTTAAAGTTTTAATCATATGTACGTTCCTTACATTGGTCGCGTATATACGGTTACTCGTATTACTTATAGATGTCAACAGTCGCTATCTAACAGTTCCCGTAGGATGAACGTAGGTACCGCTAGCGAAAAAAGCCTGCTATAAAATTTACTCTAGGCAGCCATTAATGGTCAGGACGTTCTCAGTGGAAACAGGTCTCGAAGATAAGGAAGAGTGCCATGTATGCGGTATGAGGGCGGAAGGCGGAGAATTTATAAGTATGAGAATTTGCGCTAGACAATGTTTGGTTAGCGCGGAGAGCAACCTTTCTCTCGGATTTTCAAGGTATTAAGATTAGGAGATGGGAGGTATTCATATCAGCCCAGAATGAGCGCAAACTATCGAAGATATCGAAGCCTAGCGAGTGTGATTCGTAAGAATGCGCTGAAGATTATTCAAGAACGATTTAGCTGACCACAGCACAGGCATATCCACGCCGAACAACCTACCTACCGTATGCTTAAAGTGCGGCTCTCGAACCTCTGCCAATCTATTCGTTCGTCCGCTTGCGCGCCGCGCTCATTCTAGTACTAGACTTATTGAAATCCAAGAAATTGCAGCGAGCGATTGTCCAAATGCCATTCCCGTACCTCGAATCAGCATCAACACACATCAAATTTTTGCTGGCGTAGTCCTATCTCGCCCACCGCTCGTCACACCAGATCTCCATTCCTTTGAAAAGGCGTTCTTCTTCTATCAGAAACGCCTCAATGAACGTCTTGCCATCCCGTTCACGCGCTATTTCTACTTCAAGAAAGATTCTCCAGCGGATACCGACTGGAAATTAAAGGCTTCTGAACGTGGTGGCGTTCCTGCAAAGGAATTGGGAAGTTACAAAGCATATGGAAAATTAGCCTGGAATGATGAGTTGCTGGAAAAAGAAAGACATATGGCAGAGCCTCAATATATCATTGATCAACTAACAAGAGATGCGCGTGTCGGTGTAACTGAAGATGGCGTTGTCGTGCAAGATGTCAATGCTCGGGCAGAGGGAGTGGCAAAACTAAACAGCCGAATAACGGATGCAGATACGACGAATAATGACCAAAGATTGGATCGAAAGTTGGATCGAACGTTGTATCTCGTCGTGCGAAACAAAGATGATAATACGTGGGGATTTCCCTCAGGAGGAGTGTCTGGTACGGAAAATCTTCACGAAGTAAGTCCATCCTCTCTTATCAATACAGAATGAAGTTTGGCTCATTCAATCTACTGAAAAGGCAGCCGAACGTATTCTAGCCCAATCCTGCGGTATCAATATGAATACCTGGATTGTAGGCCGAGTTCCTATTGCGTACAACATCACTTCACCTAAAACAGTACCTGCCGAAATACCAGCAATCGAGGCTGGGCCTCGGCCTGAACATGGTGTCCCTCACAGAAGTAAGGCTACCTTTTTCTTGAAAGGCCGAATAATGGCAGGCCAAGCCGATCTCTTAAACAATCATTTCGGCTTAGATAATTATCGGTGGCTGACCAAAGAGGAAGTATCGAAACTTCTACCTCGTGACCTTTACCTTAGCGTGTGCAATTCTATGCACGAAAGGTGAGATAACCATACAGGCTGGTATCATCCATGTGTTACTACTAGACCCCACATTTCATCGGGACCAGCTGACAAACAGACACGAACCGTATTATTCAGATGCTGAGACACGAAATTGGTGTCATCCGCATGAGGTTAGGCGTCGGGAAATGTCATACCCACGTTACATTAGTTGATATCAAGCTCTGTAATTTTTTCGGATCAAACAGTTGCGGGAGGTTATTTACAAAAAAGTCTGTATTACAACGAAAAGAAATTTGTATCTCTTGATCCTCTTGAATATAACTCTCTTTTCTCAGCTTAACTGGGTTTAGACTAATGGTCATCGTAGATATCGTGATAAAGTTTTATATAAATGCTTCGTTACGAGTTGTACCATCGGACCTCCGAGCCTGGCATCTAAACTAGCCTTAGGCAAACATCATTTGGCGCTCGAAGCCATCCCATTATGCCAGACCATACAGACCCGTAATTCAAACTCCCATATCCTAGCTAATAATACCCACAGGCCACCGAACAGCACTGGCACAGCTGGTCTTGCATTCCGACAGGCGTCAACGACAACCGCTTATTGAGACCTTCTCTCGCACACTTAAATTGACACGGAGTTTTAACCTTGATGCCCTGCAGGCATCAACTTACGATATGCGGAACGAGTGGCGCAGTCGTCACGGATCCTACTTCGTCCGAGACAGGCCTTTTTGGAGAGGCTTAACGTTCTTAGCGTGATCAGGTCTCTGAAAGCACCCGCTCGCACTCACAGAGTGGGGAAATGGGACGGTGGCAAGAGTGCAAGTACTTGTAGGGAATACTGTAGTACCATTCAACTGAATATGCTCGTTGACGTAGTAAGTGTCGAATACGCAGTTCTCCGTATTGAGTGGCCTGGCATGTCTTTGGCTGTCTGGGAACTTGGGCCTAGCACCGCACACCAGGTCATATGTGTAGATCACTCTTGCACTGAGATTTATCCTTCCTAACCGTCACTCAACGCAATTACATTTACCCGATAAACTCTAATCTGGCCCTTTCCGAGCTAGTCGAGACCAAATATACGATGAAGAGTGCCGATTAGTGAGAGGAGAGTAGACTGGATTGTTAGTAAAGAAAAAATGACACCGTAGTGTTGCAAATCTAGACTCAGCATGTATGAAGGCTTAGATTTCTAGGTATGATCATCAAGATCAATTGAGTTGAATTGAATATGATTAAGCTCAGTTGGGCGAAATAAGATTCAGTGGCATCTGGAATGCAGTGGCTAGGAAATGCTACCTTGCGATAATTGAGTGGCTGGTTGTTGCTAGATCACTGGGAGTTCGGGATCTGTATTTAAGGACAGACTCATCTGTGTATGTAAAAATAAGGTAACGGAGTAAGGGCCCAAAGCAGTTTGGCAATGCAAATACGAAGTGAGCACATGGGGCTTAACTCGTATTTACACAGAAGAAACGTACCCGGAGTATTAAGTCCAGGTTGTCCATGCGGCTACCAATCACAGAACCCAAAGCACATGATTATGTCCTGCCCCCGATGGTCAAATGGTAGAGCTGAGATCTGGAGACAAGCCAAAGATCGATCCTATGAAGCGATGTTAAATAATCCTGGAGATATAAAAAGGATAACACAGTGGATCCTAAACCATGGTTGGATAGAGCAATTCCAGATGACAAAAGCAGTCGAAATACTGCTGAGGGAAAGGAAAAGGTCAAATAATGCTGGGGGAGGATAGAGATGATCTGGTTAGTTTACATGAATGGCACTATAGTGTAACTGCGCTTCCTGAAGAAAATATGTGAGGACTATAGACAACAAATAGAAAGGTGTGGGAGGTTTTCACCATTAAGGTTTCCTCCCGGGTAAATATTATAGACTGTAGACACCTGCATGGGCCCATAGGGCGCCAAATCAGGATAATGAAATCAAATTTAAAGTTAACGGAGTATTACATATTATTAATTCATATTTAGAAGAGAGTTCGATATCACACACAACTTTCAATAAATTCTTGTCCGAAATTGTACACTTGTTCTTCGAGATATTTCCTGTCAGACCAGTATCAGAACCCGGTGTAATTCGTATTCCTGAATTAATGTTTCGTGATTCATGTAAATTCCATTCTTCTAACATGATCGTAACATTATTGTCAGAATAATATGCCAAGCTGGTACCTGACATAATTTGTGATTGCCTCAGGAAAACCTTGGCGTTTTGGGTAATTTTCAGCTCGAAAATGCTTGGCGTCCGTGTAACAGACGTGGTGGACTGGTATTGAGTCTGTTTAGGATTACATCATGGCTACAACATGTTTGGATTGTATCCTGTGTTGTAAGGAAGCTATTTCTAGATATTATCATCTTGCGTCAGGTAGTAGATATGTGTAGATATATAAGCTGAGAGAAAGAGGAAGGAAGACAGACAGACAGACAGACAGACAATTACATCTTTTTATTTACTTCAATTGAAAGCTCCTGTGCGAGCTATTCTTCCAGATACCTCTAGTCTCAATCATTACAGCTTCCGAACCAGCTCAAAAGGTTCGACATTTCCTCCTAGAAATCCTTGACAATTTCTAACACGTAGTTATTGACTTTGAGTGGCGTATTTAATCAAGTGAATACCAAAATGAGATTTGGTGCGTAGTTTGTGGTCGCGTGTGCCTCAGCAATGTGGCTTACTGGATAGCGCTACTGTTGAAATTCACCGTGCTACTCGAGTGTGAGACTATCTAGAATATTAAGCCCCTCCTTGACCTAAGACACACCATACACACTACTTCTATCCTCTTTGGTTAATTCAAAGGTCATTGATGTATTGCCCATGATGAATTGATATTCAGCTCAGTATTTGCCCGTGGAATTCGGCCACCTTTTCCACTAAACCTTCTACCCGAAAAAATAAAAATGGTAGGACTGGAAACTGCGTGCGCGGAAAAAGGTCTCAAAAAACCTGCAGCCCCAGCCAGGCTGTGGATCCAGAAGATTCGGATCATAGTACCCCCGTGTAAGGTTCGGAATAACTATTGCACACACACCAGCTCTGTAGAGTAGTAGCTTTTAGATACACAGAATACATACCATACAGATCACGACAGACCTTTACATACAGATATACATGTACATTAAGGGCCTAGTTACCTGGACCACATGAGGTGCGCATATTCATCTACCATGGTGCTACGGTGTCAAGTTTGCAGTATGGCGTTGGCAGGGGTTTTAGCGTATAAACTAAGACGCCTTAGGCATTAGTTACCTTCCATTTTGGAGTTAGCCCCCGTATTTGTGCAAATTTATGAAAACTTTTGTATCGCAGTTTTTATCTGGACACCATAGTTTGCAGTGGGTCTTTCCTTCGTGCTAAACCTAATTTGCATAATGATCGGCTGCATAACATTTGTGCATTTTTGCTACATGACTTTATAACTTATTTACAAGAGTTCTGTAAGCAGACTTGTGCTTGCATAAGTCTGGATCCAGTCCAAAAGCGAAAGCACGATCTGCGTGCAAGCATGTCAGACTAGTAATGATGATCAGGGGCATCAATAGGGTAGAACTAGATATTATAGTGCTACGATGGACTCGTAGCACGGAGACAATTAATCAATTCATTCTTGTATTCGCTTTCGTCTTTTGACGATTCACATGACACTCACACGAAGACCTCTCTAAGTTTTACAAGTTCAAAGGTTTTCAAATTACAAAATAGAGCCAGTCTTATCCTAACCTTAGATCTGAACATGTGGCTGGTATATTTTCAGGCCTTCATATCTGGTCGGTCCCCCATCCGCATCTACCACAGCCTGACATCTTGCTGGCATACTCTGAATGAGTCTCACAAGATCTTCGGAAGACACAGAATCCCATGCCTCCTTTACAATGTTGCGAAGACTATCTTAAGTTCGCTGCTTTTCGCGACCCAGATTCGGATGATGACGCTGGATGTTATCCTTCATCTTATTCCAAACAGCTTAAACCGGGTTAAGATCAGGCGAGTTGGCCGTCCAGAAAATCGGTTGAATGGGCCTCTGGCTCATATCTTCCACTGTAATTGCGGCTGTGTGAGCAGGAGCATTATCCTGCATTACGGAAAGACAAGGTCTCACCGAGACCATATCATCGATAAGAGGAACTATCTTCTCGCAATATTTTTGGGAGTTAATGGAACCCCATTCCTTCTCCCAAAACAAACAAGGGCCTTTTTCTGGCCCTGCGAAGCAACCCCAGAACATCCATCCGACCCTATTCTTCGATTTTTCTCCAACACAATCAGCGTTGTATTCTTGGGAAGTCTAGCTCATAATGTTAGAGTATCAAATTACCATCTTCTTATAGAGGAATGTGCGGACACTTCTTGTCATCCATTCTCTAGAATGCCTTCCATCCTCTACCCAAGTTTCGTCTGTCCATAAAACTGACGTCCAGTCTTCATATGTCCAATTGAGATGAGCTTCGGCCCATTCTCTGCGTGTCTTCATAGTTTCCTGAGATACTGGAGGCTTTAGACGAGCCACATGTCGCTGATATCCTTTTTTTTAAGTTCTCTTTGTATTACCCGCTCGCTAACACCAAGAGGTCTAAAGGGGCCAGAGGCGAGTTCCAGTTGAAGACTCTATTAAAGTTCTGGGGGGTATCTGGAATGATAGAAGTGAACGTTGTCCGCCAAGTCAATACTGTACGAATCATAAGATATTGGGGATTTAAGGATCAGAGATAAAAGGTTAGGATCAGTGAGGTTTTGGTTTTACTGAACTTATATTTCGGTAATTAAAAGTGTTAGTGTTTAATCTACATCTAATTGTCTATCTATGTTCTACCTCACTTAGGTAGAAACATTGTGTTCTGATTACGTGATGGAATAACATTCACACCACCGAGATCATCACCAACCGAGACCTCACCAAAGCTGGTAGCGATCGAAGATGAGTAGTCTTCGTCTACTCCGCACTGCGTGCAGTTCGGTCTGGCATGTCTAGATTTCAACATCCCTCCTCACTTTGTGCCGAATATA